CGCACACACACACACACACACACACACACACACACACACACACACTCCAGCGCCGTGGTTTATGTAACAGGATCAGTGGGTTTAATATTGGCCTTAATCTCAAAAGAAATCTATTTATTTGACAGAATTACACCGAGACAGGAAATGAGCCTTTTGTTATTTTTGTACAGTTCGGACCTAATGCTTCTACAACAATAGTTTTAATATAAGCAGATGTTTTCTCCCAAAAAGGATTATTTTGGGCACGTTATTATGACGACAGCGTACGCACAGTCTGGAAGGAAAACTGTGGATTAAGTGTTTTTTGTTTTTTGTATTTTATCAATATGCAAAGACAATAAAAAAACTATAAAATGTAGGACACACAATCATGAAAAAGACAATAATAATACATTACAATTATCTTAACCCACTAACCCAGTGCTTGGACAGGACAGTGTGATTGTTCCTCTGTCTTCCTAATGCACGGGTGTCAAACATATGGCCCGCGGGCCAGATCCAGCCCTCCAAGACCTTTAATCTGACCCTCGGCTAATTTTCGACATTTTAATTATATTTTCTATTAAAATATTGTTAATTTTCTGCGGTGTTTATCATAACAGCATCTCTGTACGTGGCCCCTCCCACCAGAGCAGCACAAATGAAGACTTGTCTCTTTCCAAACGCTCTTAAAGGACGATCGTTTTGACTGTTGACCGTGACACCCTCATCAGAAAAATGTCCAACATGAGAAAAGTGGAGCCGAGTGTACAGGATGTTTAATTTTTCTTAAAGTTTCAGGTTGTTCATAATATTATAATATTTTGTAAAAGAAATATTATAAATATTTGAACTTATTGTTATTTTTGGGGTTTATATGACATGAGTTTTCTGATCCGGCCCCTTTGGGATCAAAGTCGGTTGGATACGACCCCCAGACCAAAATGAGTTTCACACCCCTGTCCTGTTGTCTCCCTGCAGTGAGGAATCTTGGGGTGATTGTGACTCCATGTTTAAACTGGACAAGCACATTAGTTCTGTGATTAAGTTCAGCTTCTTTCAGTTGAGGCTCCTCGCTAAAGTAAAGCTCGACCTCCCACAGGCGGAGTTCGAAAGAGTGATCCATGCTTTTGTAACATCAAGCCCGGACTATTGTAATTCTTTGTGTGTAGGGTTAGACCAGAGCTCCTGCAGCGTTTACAACACGTCCAGAACGCTGCAGCTCGTCTGCTGACAAACACTAAGAAACGTGAACACATCATCACATGTTTGAGTAACTCTTTATTATTATTCTGCCTACATCTCCAAAACTGAAAATGTTCTTTTCCACCTTGTGATGCCATGAAGTCGTAGTTTCCTTTAGTGTTAATTCAACTTCCTTTAGTGTTTAATTCAACTTCCTTTAGTGTTAATTAGTTAATTCAACTTCCTTAGTGTTAATTCAACTTCCCTTAGTGTTAATTCAACTTCCAACTTAGTGTTTAATTCAACTTCCTTTTAGTGTTTAATTCAACTTCCTTTAGTGTTAATTCAACTTCCTTCCTTTAGTGTTAATTCAACTTCCTTTAGTGTTAATTCAACTTCCCTTTAGTGTTAATTCAACTTCCTTTAGTGTTAATTCAACTTCCTTTAGTGTTAATTCAACTTCTCTTAGTGTTAATTCAACTTCCCTTAGTGTTAATTCAACTTCTCCTTAGTGTTAATTCAACTTCCCTTTAGTGTTAATTCAACTTTCTTTAGTGTTAATTCAACTTCTCTTAGTGTTAATTCAACTTCCTTTAGTGTTAATTCAACTTCCCTTAGTGTTAATTCAACTTCCACTTAGTGTTAATTCAACTTCCTTTAGTGTTAATTCAACTTCCTTTTAGTGTTAATTCAACTTCCTTTAGTGTTAATTCAACTTCCCTTAGTGTTAATTCAACTTCCTTTAGTGTTAATTCAACTTCCTTTAGTGTTAATTCAACTTCCTTTAGTGTTAATTCAACTTCCTTTAGTGTTAATTCAACTTCCTTTAGTGTTAATTCAACTTCCCTTAGAGTTAATTTGGCTCCTCCTGCCCTCCACTTTAAACTCCCGTGAGAGAAGACCAGTTCAAACCAGTTTTGTTCATAATTTCATCTTAAATTAACTCAAATAAAGTAAAAATAAAACATCTCTTTGTGTTGTTTCGGTAAATCAGGATAACTCTACAAAGTGTTATCCGTTTACTCTCAAAACTTTAATATAACTCTTGATTTCGGGTTAAACAGGAACTTTGGTCCAGTGTTACTTAATGAACATTTCCAAAAATGTTAAATTAAATAAAAATAGAACAGTTTGGACTCATATAAACCCTGAGAAAATGTTCAAATTAATTCTGTGAGAGTCAATTTTAAGACTTCACTTTTTTGCTGTGTAGTGAATGTGTATGGAGTATGGAGCACTTCCTGTATCACCACATGACATCACAAGGTGGAACAAAGTCTAAATGTGCAGGTTTTGTGTGTTAAACATGTGTGAATAAAACAAAACAAGAAAAAAAAAAACACCTCCAGGTCTGTTTGTGATGAGGAAATGACATTAGAACATAATCCGGGGCCTTTTACTTTCTTTCTCAGTCCATAGGTTCTTGTTTTATTGTTATGAATCAGATCTGTGTGAAACTGACGCCCTGTTGTTTTGCAGAGAACTGGGTGATCCTGGGCGTGTTCTATTACCCGGCGCTGTACTACCCGCTGCTGGCATGTGGCACTCTGCACAATAAAGTGGGCTACGTCCTGGGCAGCCTCCTCTCATGGACCCACTTCGGAGTTCTGGTCTGGCAGAAGATCGACTGCCCCAAAACGCCGCAGGTGACACCAGGAGATTACATTTTTTTTGTGATTTAGTTTTCTGATCAGTGTTCTAATGTTGTTTCCTCGTCACAAACAGACCTGGAGAGTTGTGTTTTGTTTCAGTCACATGTTTAACACACAAATTCTGCACATTTAGGCTGAGTTCTTCTTCTCTCAAACGGAAAACATTCTATTCCACCTTGTGATGTCACGTGGTGATACAGAAAGTGTTTTTAAACTCCATAAAACTTCACTAGAATCATTTGGATTATTTTAGGCTTGGAGTTGCCGATCTCTAGCCTGATTCATGAGTCGGTTTTACTTCGTAGAAACCGTGTGACCTCGCAGCATTAGGATTCATTCACTCGACAGTAGGCGGGGACTTTTTTTAATTTAACCAATCACTGCTATTTGGTCGTGACGTATGTAATGCACCAAATCCTGTAAGAAGAACAATAACGTCTTTCCCTCTTGATAAAATTCACCAAACATTCTCTTTGTTCCGGTTTTAAATCCTCGGGGATCTGGGGAATCGTTGCCAACACAGAATGTCTGTCTTCGTCTACATCCATGTCGACGCTTTGTTTACTGTTGTGTTGTTCCACAAAAGGGACACAGACCAGAGTCCTGCACCAGGTTGAGAACCCGTAAAGTTGGAACTTTTCAATTCGTATTCTGATGGACGCTTCAGTTAGAATGATTTTAATCTGTGTGTGGTTTACCACGTGCACAGGCAGGTAACGAGTGGAATGTTAATGAGTCCGGGCGGGTGCAGGTTTAACTTTGATATAATCACAGGTTAACAGGCAGGTGTGGTGCTGTACTGCGCGGGTGCAAGTCTCCAAAAATTGACCCATGCAGGACTCTGACCCAAACAGACGCTTGAGTTTGACGTCATGGCTTCACAGTTCTTCCCTGATTGGTCGGTGCGCGGTCTACAGCTTCAACTAGTCGCTGGAGAGAAATTTAATTGAGCGGAGACACAAATTTCGATGAAATTTTCTTAATCGATCGTCAGAAGAATTAACGATCGATTATCAATTAATCATTAACGTTTTTATATTAAAATGATCATCATTATTATTACTATCTGCACTACTAATCTGCATAAATAAATTCAACTTTACGACATATAAACCGTAACGACTCTAGAGCCACATCAGCTGTTTGACATTATAATGTGTTTAATTCAGTTTTGTTCAAATCTCACAGAAACAAAACTTAAAACCACATCACTAATTTGCATAAACTAAGCGAAGATAAAACTCCAGCTCTTGTGTCGCTGATGTGGTCAGCTTCTGTCGGATTAAAAGACATGACTCAGGTGAATACAGGTCAGTGTGACCAGATTTGCGTTTGTCAAAACCAGGACAGCGTACGGGGGAAGGGGGCGGGGCCTCGTCATCCACATTGGGCGACTCTCACCTGGAAAAACTTTTTCCCACTGGACACAGAAACATATGTGCTGCTTTATCACACTGTGCACATGGACTCACACTTGTCCCCAACACGGCGACACTAGGTGGCACCGGCCTGACTAGCCAGTCTTTAATGAACTAAAGGTAAAAACTGTTCACTTGAAAACTACTGCTTCATGACATCACAAGGTGGAACAGAGCATTTTGAGCTTTGGAGATGTAGACAGACTAATAATAAAGAGTTACTCAAACATCTGGGAATGAAACAAAACACAACTCCAGGTCTGTTTTTGAGGAGGGAACAACATTAGAACAGGACTTAGTTTCAGTCAGTGTCAGTTTTGTGTAATATAAAACCTTTAAACAACACATATTTTGTCAAACAGCAGCATAAACACAAGATTAAAATTTTTCACGTTGCATTCTCGGTCACAGAACTGTGATCAAAACAATTAGTTCCGGTGTCTGTTTGTGTTAATCAGAGGGTTTGTGAGCGAGGACGGTGTTGAGAGAGGAATCCTAATGAACAGATATTCTCTGAGCTTCAACAGAGAGGGGAGAGAAGACAAAAAAATATACTCAAACTATAGTGTCCAGACGTCCCTGTTTCCCCGGGACAGTCCCAGTTCTGAGTCTGTGTCCCCTGTCCCTGCAGATTTATACAAAACCACTGATTTGACCCAGTTTTATACAAGAAATGTCCCAAGTGTCCCTATTTTTGACCAATCTGATCCTTGCCAACAGTAAAGAGAGACATAAACTGTTATTTGTTTAGGTAAAATACAGAAAACCTGCTTAAAAACGACCAAAACACAAAGAAAATGTGATTATACTGACTCACATGTCTATCATGAGTGGTCTTTGAATAACTAACACCTCAAACCGAGAGACATCCTATCTGGTCCCATCTGGTCATCCTAACTCGAACAAAAGCATAATAATAATAGTTTTCAAGTAAATGTAAAAAGTAGTAGTCCAAGAAATTACTCACATGAATAAAAAAATAAAAAAAACTATTTGGAGAAAGTAGTAAGAGCAGTTTTAAGAGTAGCCGAACTGTCTGGACGTAACATTGAACACGATTTATAAACTAAAGTTGATTTGATGGAATAAGGCACAAAATCGGATGTTTTCAAAAGAGAAATACAACAATGAGACAAACTGAATCAGATCTGAAGGAGCTGCAAGAAAAACAAACGTTCAAATCATTTCATATTGTCACATAAAAACCTTTGTCACTTTAGACTTAGTAGAAGTCACCAAAACTTGTACTTTAAGGACCCATATTAGTTAATTCAACTTCCCCTAGTGTTAATTCAACTTCCACTATGGTTAATTCAACTTCCACTAGTGTTAATTCAACTTCCACTAGTGTTAATTCAACTTCCCTTAGTGTTAATTCAACTTCCACTAGTGTTAATTCAACTTCCACTAGTGTTAATTCAACTTCCCTTAGTGTTAATTCAACTTCCCCTAGTGTTAATTCAACTTCCACTAGTGTTAATTCAACTTCCACTATGGTTAATTCAACTTCCACTAGTGTTAATTCAACTTCCACTAGTGTTAATTCAACTTCCCCTAGTGTTAATTCAACTTCCCCTAGTGTTAATTCAACTTCCCTAGTGTTAATTCAACTTCCCTTAGTGTTAATTCAACTTCCCTTAGTGTTAATTCAACTTCCCTTAGTGTTAATTCAACTTCCACTATGGTTAATTCAACTTCTCTTAGTGTTAATTCAACTTCCACTAGGGTTAATTCAACTTTCACTAGTGTTAATTCAACTTCCCTTAGTGTTAATTCAACTTCCCTTAGTGTTAATTCAACTTCCCCTAGTGTTAATTCAACTTCCACTAGTGTTAATTCAACTTCCACTAGTGTTAATTCAACTTCCCTTAGTGTTAATTCAACTTCCACTTAGTGTTAATTCAAACTTCCTTAGTGTTAATTCAACTTCCCTTAGTGTTAATTCAACTTCCCTTAGTGTTAATTCAACTTCCCTTAGTGTTAATTCAACTTCCCCTACTGTTAATTCAACTTCCCTTAGTGTTAATTCAACTTCCCTTAGTGTTAATTTGGCTCCTCGTAGTCACCACTTCAAACTCCGTGAGAGAAGTCCAGTTTGAACCAATTTTGTTCATAATTTTATCTTAAATTAACTAAAATAAAGTGTAATAATCAAACACCTCTGTGTGTTGTTTAATTAAATCAGGATAACTCTACAAAGTGTTATCCGTTTACTCTCAAAACATGAATATAACTCTGGATTTTGGGGTTAAAAAGGAACTTTGGTCCAGTGTTACTTAATGAACATTTCCAAAAAATTTAATTAACTCTAGAACAGATTGGACTCATATAAACCCTGAGAAAATGTTAAAATTGATTCTGTGAGAATCAATTTTAACAATTCACTTTTTGCTCTGTACTGAAGGTGTGTGGAGTTTAAAAACACAGTTCGGGCACTTCCTGTATCACCACATGACATCACAAGGTGGAACAGAGTGTTACAGTTTGAGAGAAGAACGCTAAAGTCTAAATAAAGTCTAAATCTGCAGGGTTTGTGAGTTAAACGTGTGAATCAAACAAAACAAAACTCCAGGTCTGTTTTTGACGAGGGAACAACATTAGAACATGTTTTAAAGATCTCAGAAGGGGTTTAAATCAGAGCAGTGCAGTTTTCAAAAACAACTCAACAAGTCCAGTCTCTTTTTAAAGTCAATGGAGCTGCTTCTGTCTCCCAATTAAAATACCGATCTAAAACAGTCTGAATGAAATAAAATTAGAATGTGAATGGAGCTTCCTGTGGCCTGTGGCTGAACTCTCTTTCTCTTTCTTCCTGCAGATCCACAAATATTTCTCTCTGTTCTCCAGTTTTCCACAAATCGCCTGTTTGGCATTCCTCAGCTTCCAGTACCCCCTGCTGCTGTTCAAGGGTCTGCAGGGCACCGACACCGACACCGGCACCGAGGTGAGCGCCAGGTCAGCGGGTCAGACCTGAGGTGAGCGCTGGGTCTGCGGGTCAGACCTGAGGTGAGCGCTGGTTTTGGTTCTGTGGGTCAGACCCAGATTGAGCTCTGGTTCTGTGGGTCAGACCCGGTGTGAGCTCTGGTTCTGGTCCTGTGGGTCAGACTCTGTTGTGTGCCAGGCTCTGTGCCAGGTTCAGAGGATTTCAGGTCTGTAATGGTCCTGAGGGGAGCAGCTCCAGTGGTGCAGTTTCTTACAGACTACAGGTCAGTTAAAAGTCAGCGGTTTAATCCCAACCCTGTGCACTGCTCAATCAATCAATCAAACTTTATTTGTGTAGCACTTTTCATACATTTGAAATGTAGCACAAAGTGCTTCACATGCAACAGAAAAATTACAATACAATAATTAAAAACAAGAGCAACCCCCCACCCCAGTGTTTCATCCATATATACAACAATTTAAACATAAAAACAAAAACAAAAAGCTCCTAAAGGTTATTATAAAAATCAAAATGGAGACAAAGTAAAACAGTAATGATAATTTAATTTAGAATAAATATAATAATAGTAACAATAATAATAATAACAATAATAATAATAATAATTTAAGTTAAAACAGATAAAAGTTTCAATTAAAAGCTAAATTAAAAAGAAACTGCTGTTGTGTCCTTGAGCAAGACACTTCTCATTTTACTTGTGTGAAGATAGACTGTGCATGAAATGGTAAATGGTCACATTTTATATAACGCTGTTTCCCCTTACATCAAATAACCTGAACACAGACACTGGAAAGAAGGGCGTAGTGCCTTGCTCAAGGACATAACAACAGCATTCATCTGTGGGATCTGGAATCGCACCGCCAACCTGTGGGTCAGTGGATCTGAGGCTCAACCAGTGATGTTTTTGTTGAGAGTGGGATTCAAAACCTTTGGCTCAGTGGACAAACACTCCCCTGAGCGACTGTGACCAGCAGCCACTCTTCTGTCAGTGTGCCCCAGGGCAGCCGCACACTGATGACATCACACTGATGACATCACACTGATGACATCACACTGAACTTTTCACAACAATTTACACAAGAGGAATTTTGGACATAGAGCCTCATTTCCTCATGAGCCAGAGTGTCGGAGACGTGTGGAGACACTTTTTTAAATATTCCATTTTTGTTTGCAGAGGCGCCACTAAAAACAGTCTTACCCACTCCACAAAACACCTGAAGAAAATCTATCATTACACCAGACTGTCCATGTGAATGTCTGTGTCCATAGAATAATTTTAGAAGTAAAACCAACCTTGAATTTGAAGGATTTATGTCTGAGCAGCAGCAGTGAGTTGTTCTTCCTGATAAAACCAAGCGGCGGCGGCGGACTGATATATGAGAAAATAGTCCCTCAACATGCGACGATTCATGCGACGCAAGGTTAGTTTTAATAATTAATTAATCATTTCATTTATATAGTGCCTTTCAAGATACCCAAAGCAGTTTACAGTTCATTATTCATTCACTCAACACTCAGTGGTGGTAAACTACTACTGTAGCCACAGCTGCCCTGTGGCAGACTGACAGAAGTGAGGCTGCCAATCTGTGCCATCAGCCCCTCCTACCACCACCATCACTCACACACTCTACTTTCATACTAGGCAATGTGGGTGAAGTGTCTTGCCTAAGGACACAACAACAGTATTCCCAGAGTCTCCCATCCAAGTCCTGACCAGGCCCAGTCTTAAAGAGCTTCTGAAATCTGACAGGATCAGGCTCAGCCGGTGTGACCACATTATTATTATTTCAAACATTATTCTATCGACACAGACATTCACAGTAAATGCAAATACAAGGACTGGATGAAATATTTAAAAAAGTGTCTCCACACGTCTCCAACACTCTGGATCATGAGGAAATTAAAGCTCAATGTCCTAAATTCCGCACTGTCCCTTTAAACATGATTTCAACTAATATTTTCTTATATATTTTTATATAAAACATAATTCAATGATCTTAAGTGTGTTTGTTTTAGTAAAAAGAGTACTCCAAACTGTCCTCCTTCGTTCACCACAGCAACGGAGTGGTTGACTGCTCTTGTGGCTGCCTAGCTCACACACTGAGCAGTTTTGTTTTTTGAGCTCAGTTTTTAACATCATCTCATGGAATTTTAACCAAACTAAGAAGAGCGGCAAGTGCAGCTCAAAGGACGCAAGAAAGGGACCGTTGGATTTTGTGAAATGAGCGGTTTGTTTTTCCTGTATCCATGGAGAATTTGTTAAGGAGCTGTGGACATTTGAGATGCTGCAGTCTTTTTACACCATATGTGGCAGCAAATGTGTCAGAAAACCTTCCAGAGGAAACACTTCGAGGGAATGAACCATTTTAACACCGACGGAAACACCAGAGCGGAGTAAAAAAACGAGGTCTTTAATGTTGTGTTGAGGTGGCTGCTGTGACGCTGCAGGACACAGAGCGGGGACACTTTTAGCTCTTCTTCTCCTCAGACTTCCCCGACACAGATCTGCTGACTCTCCCTGACCAGTGCTCCTGTGAAACTGACCTTTGACTGACACACAAAGGGACTGAGAAGAGCCGTGGAAATGTCGCTGCAGCAAAACTAGAACTTCCCTCGGGATCGATAAAGCATCTCTCTCTCTCCATCCGTCCGTTCTGAGCTCCAGTCCTGGTGCAGTCTCCTCCGGCACATGAGCTGTAATCATATTTAAGCAGATTAGACGTCACTGGTTTATGTCGTGTTCTTGATCAGATTACGAAAAGGTCGCCTTGTTTTTTCTCTCGGAGCCACAGACTCCAGTCCATTTGATGCTAATCTCTCATTGGCGCTGGAGCCGTTAGTGCCTCACTCCGCAATGCAATTATAAGCAAGGATAGCGTGGAGATGTTACACCTGATGCCACGCCTGGACTCATAATCGCGTTTTATTAACTGTTGGTCTACACAAATAAACCTGCCCACCTGAAGGTTTTAGTATAGTTTTCTAACCTCAATACAAACAGACTCCAGCGGTGAAGGACGAAACAGGAACAAATCCAGGCTCTGGCATCATCTCAACTCTGATAACGGACCTTGGTTTATTTAAGTATTTTATTTAAAACAAATTAAAACCATATAAATACTGTATTTTTTGGATTATAAGTGGCTCCGGAGTGCTACATTCAGACTGCAGGGCTTAACGCTCAATTCTGATTTTTTTGTGAAATCCGATGTTTTTTCGAGGTCGTTCACATTTCCAGTTAAATGTGACTTGTATGTGACTCCAGTGTGAACATTAAACGGCCCGAAAGTGTCCCACATGTGACACTGGAGACACGACGACGTCAACCGCAGCGAGCGTCTCTGTGTTTACACAAGTTGTCCAAACATGGACGCAGCATCGAGCACCTGGAGATTTTAAAGTTCCTCTCGTACCGGAGCCAGAACATGAACAACTTACTTGTTTTAAGGAGGAGATTGAGAAGGAGAAGGACGAGGTTTTTGGTCGTGGTGTTTTGTGGTTCAGTCCGTTGAAAGGAACGTGTGGATGTGGAGACGGAGCCAAGAGTGGTGAGTGGTGATGTGCTTCACTTCAGTGACACAGAGTTCATTAACAATTTTCACCTACTTCAGTGCAGAATAGTGACGTTTGTGTCTTGTTGATAACGTGTAGGTGGATGAATGCACTTTGGCCGTTCACACTGAAGTCACATGTCAAAAGATCAGATATGTATCAGTTTCAGGAGCACATATCCAAGTGTCCTGGGTCACATTTGAAAAAATCGGATCTGTGTCATTCAGACTGTCATTAAAAGATCAGATACAGGAACATAGAGGCCAAAAAATCTGATTTGGGTCACTTCAGGCTGCAGTCTGAACGAAGCCTAAGTCGCACCAGTCAAAAAAATGCATAATGAAGAAGAAAAAAACATATAAGTCGCACTTTTTGGGTGAAATTTATTTTCTAAAATCAGAGACCAGAAACCGACATTTCCTGTGTAAAGTCAAGTTGTAGTAAAAACAATAGAAGAGAGAACAACAGACTGTTAATGTCACATATGAACAGTTCTTCAGATAAACTATAACATAAACAACAGAACAGAACAAGTTTAACAAACTCTCCATCTCACTCCAAATCACTAAATCCATTCAATTCTTCATCCTCGGTGTCACTTCTGAACAACTCGGCCTCGACCTCCGGAGGTAAACAGAGCGACGCAAACTCTTCTGTGTCGCTGTCGTCAGACTCAGCATCAGTTCCAGTTAGAATTATTCAGGTCTTTCTGAATCCCGACAGGATGGTTTCGGTGTCACTGAAGTCCAGGCTTTGTTCATCCATCCAGTGACTTCAGGAAAGTTTCATGGTGCATCCTCCCGGTTCCCGTGAAGTTGTGTTCTCCTTTTGCCCATGTCCCTCACAAGTTTCTCTCTACTCCAAACTTTCTTTCTGCTGCTCGATTTCTATTTTCAGCTGCAGATTTCATGACTTGCAGCAGGACAGAGGCTCTTTCTGCAGGAGACATGCGCAGTAGAGCCAAGTGACAGTGGTACAGGAGGAACAGGAGCAGCAGATACTCACACACAAGACTGAAAATTTTAATATATAAGTCGCACCAGAGTATAAGTCACAGGAAACACACAAACCATGAAAAAAGTGCCACTTACCATTTGAAAAATACACTATTGTATGTCTGTAGAGAGGAGTACAGTGGTCCATACTTGGACGTGCACAGATATTTTGATGGGCAGGTGCTCAACCAAGAAAAAAAGGCTCTTTTTCATGTTTAAGTAAGCAAATATGATTTGGCTTGTTTATATATTACTTTTAGGTGTGCAGCTGCTGAACTGTTCGGAGCAAAGCTTTGTACATACACGTGTATAAGAGTCTGTTTACATGAGAACACGTGCGGGTAGAAACATATTTTATCAGAAGTGCCTTTTGTTTAGACGGTGACGGCGTTTTTGGGGCTTAAAAACACAAAAATCTGAAACCACCTCCAGAGTGGAAAAATTTAATCTGCTCTGTCGTAGTGTTTCCGTCTACACTGCCCAAGATGTAAAACTCTGGTCAGATCTGCTCAGGTTGCATACATGTTTACGTCACAAACATACAGGACACAGAAACAAACATGTAGGATAATTTCAGCAGTTCTAATAAACTTACAGGAGGCTCCCAACAAATGTCCAGAATCTGCAGAGAGACTATTAGTGACCAGAGAAGGATCTGCAATCACCTCTGTCAAACTCTGGATACACCAGGTCGTCTCAGTCGAGTCAGACGGATCTGGACGAGACCTGGAGAACCAGTCGACGGTGGGACGACTTTGTGGAAGGAGGAGCTAATGAAAATGCGTGACGTGAAAACTTCTCTATGTCCAAAAACGCTCTTGTTGCTTTAAGTACAAACGAACACAATCCAATTCCACACACTTTTGCGTCGCCGTCTGCAGCAGATTTACTCCTGAAAACGCTCGTCTAAACGCGGAATAAAAAGTGAAGACGCGATATTTGCATCTTCTGTTCAGACCCTCATCATATAAACGTAACCTAAGGGACCAAAAAGATGCTTCCAGTGAAAAAGGAGCATGTTTACGGGGTCTTGGGTCCTAAACATAATTTCCTGTGCACGTCCCTGAACAAGAACTTTATGTTACTCAACATGTTTTTGTTTTTCTCCACAAACAGGACCTGAACAGCAGCTACTACAGGGACTACGTCAAGGAAATACTAAAGAAGAAAAAGCCCAGTAAAATCAGGTGAATGTTTCCTCCATATTGACTCTGAATCACACACAGACGAGGGTTTAGGTTTTTGACCAATAACTCTGATTCTGGAAGTAAATTTCCCATTCATTTTTCTCATAGACTTTCTGGGAAAAAATTATATTAAAAGGACTAATCAGCTCTGTGTGGTGACTAATGACCAGAAAACCTATAATTCTATTTAAAGTCTGTTTCTGAAGCGTGAGTTCGGCTGCTTGTGTCTGTGTCTGTGCTTAAAGGTTGTATGGAGGATTTTTTTTTTTTGTTTCAAATTGTCAAGTGATAGATTATAAAGGTGCAGTAGCCTTGTAATTATGATGACCAAAAAAAAGAGAATAAAAATTCATCAACTCTGGACGTGGTGGGGCTAAACATTTGCCAATAGATAACGACACTGCCTCGTTATCTGTGAGCTGACAGGCTGTCAATCAAACTCCCTACGTTTCTAGTGTAACTGACTTGCCTGCGCCGCCGGTACGTGGTTTACGTACGACTGTCACACAGTCCACAGACGCAAGACGCACAGACGCTGTTTACTCCACCAACGCAACAGTTCTTAGCGGCTTTTTTTGACCTATATCTTCCTCGCAGTTCGCACAAAGTTTGTTGCAATGGCGACAAGAATCCAGGAGCAGTTAGCCGCAAAAGAAAGTCCGTTTTTGAGGTCGCTGAAAGAAGAAGACAAGGGGAAAAGCAGCGAAGCCAAACTAAGGTGATTCTTGAAGATTCATTCCAGCGATGGCGCGACTGAAGCAGACGCAGGGTCTAAAGACTGACCACTGGTCCACAAATTACTCCTGGACAGGAAACTTCTGCTTATTATGAAAACGTACTTTATTTCCAAGAGTTAGACAAACGTTTTTCAGGACACGAAAGCGATATCCTATGTCTGAAAACGTAATTTTCAAGGCAAAGAAAGAGTCCGCTTGCTGCTGCGTGTTGTAGTAGTAGCTAGTTCATTCGCACTGAATCTCCGCGCCCCCCTCTGCCCGTTCCGCTCTTCTCCCTGCTCCTCACGGATCTCCGCACCGCTCTCCTCTCTCCTCTCTCCTCTCCCTGCTCCTCTTCTCCCTGCTCCTCACTTCTTGTCCGCGCACGAAATCTCCGCACACCCCTCCCCCGCTCCTCACTTCTCCGTCTTGCCTAACCAACACTGTAGTTAGTTGTTTACAAGTCATGTGCAGCGGCTGTAAACAAACCTGTTTCTGGCGTAAGGAGGAGGAGGGAGGAGGCGTTTCTACGTAGGAGCTGTAGGGGAGGGGAGGTGGTTTCACGCATGCGCAACATTTGAAAAAGGACAAACAGTCGCTGGATTTCTCGTTCCTTGGAAAATCCTCTATACAACCTTTAAGTCACATCATTCTTCCGTCATCCTTTACACATTCCACATTTTCACATTTGTTTGAGAAATTAATGAACACAAATGTAAGAATTTGCTTTTTCTTTGCCAGTAGGTCAAAGAAATAGGCCACGAAACAGGTATTAACTTTTTATATAAAGGGTCTGAACACCGGCCGTCACAAATATCCAACAAAACCGTTTGGATCAAGATTCAAGTCGAGGAACATTTGGCAGGCGCTTTGTTTCTACTTGTCCCAAATTCGCAACATACCCAAATTGCTAGTTTTTTGTTTTTTTTTGCTCTAGTCAAATTAATGATCTCAACTTAATTTATCATCTACTTAAAGGCAAAAACACACACAAAACATTTTTAATACTGTTACAACCCCAACAAGGTGAGTCCCAACATATTTAAAAAGGACACAGGAGTCAAAATATAGCTCTTAAATGTCTTTTATTTATCGTTGGTTCTTAATTAATTAATTTATTTTTATGTTTTTAAAGAAATTTAAAGAACCCTCCCGTGCCCAAAAAAATTATGAAAAGTAATAAACAGAAAGATGGACCTGGCGAGCCGGTCAAACAGAACAAAAAGGTGCGACACAGGGCCAACCCCGTACAGGCCATAGAAGCACCAGCACCTGTAACTAAAGACAAGAAAAACCCCAAACCAACCTGAACCCAAAAGAAACACAAAAACAGGACAGACGGTCCACCAGGTCAAAACAAAAGGCTAACGGCAGGCTA